AAATAAATACAACTATAAACAGTGGCAAGTGCTATAAAAAGAAACAAGCTGCCATGATAGGGAGTAAGAGCTGGTGGAAGGGAGGGCTTCTCGAAGGAGAGAACACCAAGAAGAGGAGGACGATGGTTACTCTGGACGTGCTGAGGAACTAAAGAGACACTTCCAGGGGGAAAGTACAAAGATGAGGGTATAGGGTAGAATCATTTAGGTAATGCTGAATTCTGTAGGTCATGATAGAAAATTCGAATTTTACTCTATATCTGATGGGGAGCATCACTGAAAGGTTTCAAGCAGAGAGGCTGGATTTGAGTTTTAAGAAAAAGTAATGATGTGTGAGAGAAAACCCCGGACAAAAAGCCAGGAGATCTGGGGGCCTGCCCTGACAGCTGTACCAATTACTGCTCCTTGACGGCAGACTTCCAGGTGCAGAAACAGACCAACCCCTCTGCCCCACCTGTTCCATGTCTCCTGTGTGTGGAGGACCCCCTCTGAGGTCTGCAAAAGCATTCTGAAAAGTGCTGGCACAAGGGGCCCGCCCATGAGTGCGTGCGCCGCTCACCGAAGCTCAGCAAGCTGACACTGCGCAGGGCATTGATGGACAGATGTTCCTCCTCTAAGCCATATTCTTCTACACTCTGCACTCATTTCACTGCCTGGACTTCCACAGACTATTTGGTGATTTTCCCCACAACAAGGCTCAAAAAACAACGTGGGTTTCATAATCTAACACACGGCAATGATCCTTTGTGGCCTAGGCTGAGGATGGACAAGGTCAGAGATGGGCTCGTGCTGGGTCAGCTGGGGCTACAAGTCGATTAAACTACTTTCAGTAGCCTCTCTGTCACTATCCTAGCTAGTGTGTAAATTTTAACTTGAGTTTGGAACCCGTCTCAAGGGAGTCACTAATCACAATGACTGAAAACAAAGGCGAGGGAGCTTACAATAAAAGGGAAGCTAGATCATGCAGGGAAGCTTAGCTAAGCTCCCCTCCCTCTCTCACTCTGTGATATAAAAGTCACTGTTGCAGAAGGAGAAGGCTGTGTCTGTCTACATCCCTGAGTACCTCACCCAGCATTAGGCCAGACACAAACAGGGATTTTGTCTTTTGTGGGGTTTTTTGGACAATAACAAGGATAAATAGAATGATTTTTGTTCATTCTAAAATGCCCTGTTGGGTCTGAAGAAGTAAACACAACAGTAAAAAAGTTAAAAACCATTTCTTGTTGCTCAGAATCTCCAATCAAGGTATTTATATCCCTTCAAGGGGATATATGAGTCATTTAGACTCTTAACATTTAAAAAGTCCTCCTAACTTAAAGCGTTATCTAAGACTTCCCTTTTTAAAAAGCTCAAATGTATTTGTATTTTTGAGTTACCTGTAATTTTGTTATTTTTATTCCTGTTATTAAAATGAATCTAAACCAAATGCACCAACATTGAATCACAAGGTTTGGACAATGACAAGAATAAATAGCACTATCTTTTCTCACCTTAATAAAGATCACATTTATTTGTATTTTTGTGGAGTTCCTGAAAAATTAACTCCCCCCCTATGGAAAACTGCAGGTTCTTGACATTCCCAGGCTTTTCTACTTTAACCGGTTTGAAGGACTTCGCCTAGCGGAAGAACAAGTTCCTTCCCCTCGACACCACATCTAGCATCTACCGTAGGGAAAGCAGCACATAAGCCCTGCCCAAATCACACGGCTAATGCAGCAACAGTGCTACAATTGTTTATAACATCCTCGATGTTCTAGAATGATCAGAGTTAAGCTCTTATCTCACTTTCAGACAAGGCCTGTGACCTCTGGTCTTAAACCACAGGGAATGTGGGCAGGTGTGACTCAGAAGCCGCGCGCCCCTCCCCACCATGTGAGGACTGGCTCATCCAAAATACCACAGACCCCACAGACTGTACCTTGAGCATGGCCGTTCCCATCTCGGTCATAATCATCTTTACTCTCAAAATCCATGTCTTCGGACTTGAGCTCACTGGCTTCCGGATACACAGCGAAAGCTTTTTTCCCCTCAGCACTGTCCTTCCAAGGCTCTTTTAACAGCTCATGCTTCCCCTGAGAGGGCTCTGCCAGAGGAGCAGGGGGCTCAGGCTCCACTGTGATACTATTGGTTTTGTTTCTGTACATGTCTGGGTTATAACCCTTGGGTTTCTCCACTTCCAACTCCTCGTTCTCGAGGCCACGCGTCCACCCCTCTGTGTGCTTGCAGTGACACAGACAGGCTGCTTGAGGAAATGCCCCCTGCAGTCCAGGGCTCTGGCTCATGGCCTCCTCCACATGGAAGCCTCGGCTCTTTTCCCTCAGGATATCAGCAGTGGGCTCGGCTAGATGCACAACCTCGGGCCTTTGCCTCAGGCCTGCGGCCACGCCTACATTCTCCTCTTCATTCTCCTCTTCCTCCTCCTCATCGCTGTGGTTCTGACTCAAAACCAATTTACTTTCTAAACTTTTGTTTTCTAATAAATCAATTAATTGCTGATCTGATGACAGGCTTCTTCTGGAGTCACAGACACTAAGATTGCACATATCTACAAACCCACTTTCATTTCCTTGATCCAAGGAAGGGGAAGCTAAGCATTTGGCTTCTAGCTGCCCAATGCTTTCAGGTCTCTGCCCCATGTCACTGCAGAGCTCCCCTTCCCTCGAAAGAGACAGCAACAGATGTTTTCCATTTTTGATGTTCATCTGAGCTACTCCTGCTTCTAAGCTGTCCATAAAAGAGGGGCCTGCAGATGTTTCTGCCTCGCGGCCACCAGGCTGCCAGTTCCCATCCTCGCTGGCCGAGACGGCCAGAGCATCCCTTCTGGGTTCTGTCCTGGTAGTGCGGCTCTCCTGAAAAGAGCCTGGCTCCCGACTCAGGGCCTTCTTACCATACATCATGCCCTCCAAGGACTCAGGCAGCAGACGTTCATCGTGGGGGATGGAAATGACATCCTGAACTTTAGAAATAAAGTTTTCACAAGTCATGTCAGATAAACTGCCCGCAGGTGCAGCCGGATGATCATCTCTACCTTCTATTTTCACTAGATTCTCAGGCTCATTTTCAAGGGGCTCTGAAGTCCTGCTCATCTGAGTGTATGTGAGAGATTCGTATAGTTTGGAGTTGGTCTGGTAAAGGCAACAGAGACTTTCTGGTGCCTGGGTGTCCGTTCTCTTATGTTGGGCATAGTTTCTGTAGGCGTCCAGGAAGGACAGCTGGGGGTCGGTCATGATGTAATAGTCAGTGCGGTTCAGCCCATGTTTGGCGGTGCCGACGAGCAGGTCTCGATCGTGCTTCCCACACTCCCACCAGACCGGGAGGTAGAGGCTGGGCCTGCAGAGCTGGAGGCGCTCGTGCAGCTGCGGACACCTCAGCACTTGCTCTCGGACCTTCCGCAGCAGTTCGATGCGGTACAGAGTTCTCGCGGCCCGTTCCTCAGTGATGGGTTCCACGTAGATGCTGGGATCTGGGGGACCTGGAAAGGCCAACACAGAGCCTATCACTGAAGGCAGCCCCAGGACACCTGCCACCCACCTGAGCCCCTGTGTCTCTGGCTTAGCTCCCTGGTTCCCCAGCACACAGTCTGAGGCGCGCGTGCCCGACACCACAAAAAGCTACGAGAATGCAAGGTTTCTGTGAAACAAGGCCAGACCCAGTGAGGGTGAAAGAGGAGCACGAAAACTTCGGTTCTAGAAGTTAAGCGTTCATTCAGTAAGCATGTACTGTGCCCTCTACCTGAAGTACCGTACACATGTCACTGAATTCTCACAATGCTAGGCTGTAGCATCATTATCCCTGTTTAAAGGATGAAGAAGGAGGCTCAGATATGCTAACTTGCTCAAGGTGGCAGAACCAGGATTGGAGGCCAGGTCTCATCAGTGGGACTGCAAGGCCCAGCTCCTTACAATCTATCCAGCTCCCTGGTTTTAATGAAAACACCCTAACCATGTCACACGGGGGCAGGCTGCTGTCAGCCCAGGACCCACACTGGGTGGACTCCATGTTTGTTTTAGCTTTTCTACAATATAGTCAGATGAGCCACATCTAGTTTATCTACAAAGTGTGAGGCGGGAGAGGGACGAGGAGGAAGCTGCAGCATCTCAACCAGGAAGCGATTTCTCAGAAGGGGTCTCTACTGGATCAGGGCATGTTTAAAAGACAGCTACTTACTTTCTATAGTTACAAGTCAATACACAGGAAAATAGTTAAAAGTTCCTAAGATATAATCTAAGGAGGGAGCAAAGTTCACCACAGAATAAACCTCTGAGACTTAACAATACGTTGGAGAAGGTAATTAACAGTAGCCTCTCCTCTGTGAGGTGTTAATCTGAATTTCAATTTTTGTTGACATTGCATCGTTTTGGGAGAGACATTTCATTTTATGAGGGTGGACCCAATGAGCAGTTCATGAATTTGTAAAAACCCACCTGTCTTTACCTGAATTCTTCAGGTAGACGCTACTCTTATAATCAAGATTACCTGAAGTGATTCTGTACCTTGAAAATAAACATGCCCCTTCCCTGTGTCATTGGGGACATACGGACAGAGAGCTTTCTCACCGCCATCCTTCCATGTGGGCAGACGACAGACGTTCCGGCACATGGCCACAAAACTATAGAAGTAGTGCTCCAGGCTCTCATCCGACTTCTTGTCCAAACGGGAAATGATGCGGAACTGTGTCCAGTCAAAAGTTTTCTTTTCTTGATCATAAACAACCCCAAAGGAGGACACTGCTCTGTAGAAGTCGGCTTGCTCTCTCCTAGTCCACCTTGGGATTTAATCAGAAAGGGAGAGTGAGCTGTTTTCCCTTAAGAGAAAAAAAAAAAGCCAACAACTACTTACTGAGCACCTACTAGGAGAGTCCATGGAGTCAAGAAAGCAGGTGGGCCTGGTTTGCCTATTTAATTACTTTTATTTAAGTTAAATTGGGCTGAGAGGCTTATAATGAAAACAGCCTATTATCCTACCACCACTTTCAAATCTCTCAACTTTTTCTTCCAGTATTTATCTATTTCTAAGTCATGTGTGCAGACCTGCTGTCTCCTGATTCATTAATTTTAGAGATTACCTCGTTTGTTTCCACTGATGGGAGATGAGGATCTTAAAATACTCTGTATGCTTAAATATTTTTCCTGATTTTGCCCCCTGTATGACAACCAGAATCAGAATCCTGGAGGGACCTGAAATTCACCCCCTTTCTTTTCCTGATGAGGAGACTGGTCCAGAGAAGGGAAGTGACTCCCCCAGCCACACAACTCCCCTGACCCCTATTTCACGTTGACTTTCTTCCAGGTTTTATTTAGGCAGGTAGCCCATATCTAGGACACTAAGGTTCTCCAGCCTCTACATCCTGTAGGGTTAAGATAATGATGGAAGGTGGTTGGATTATTATACCCTGCCCATAGTCTTTATGGCCTCAATATGAGGACAGCCTCATAAAGGAGTTAGGCCAGGAGTAGGGTGAAGGGCTCAGTGGAGGAGTGAGAAGCAGGGAAAAAGGGCTTGAGTTCTTCTCTTTGGAGTTGTGAAAGATGGGAGACCTATTTTCCCAAATTTCATAAAGTCAGAAGGTGTACACAGAAGTGGATTTGCTATTTTTTCTATTTGGTATTCTTTTACTTCACTGGATGTTACATCAGAAGGGTGGATAGAAAGATTCAAAGAACTACAACTTTGTTGATTTTTTCTGGTGGCATCATTCCTAGCCTGTGCTGGCCTTCTGTAGCCGTTTTTGGTGTAACTCTCAGATGGGCAAGTAACTCCTGATAATTTATCCCCCTCCTTCTGGGCTGGCATTTTATAGTACTTCCTGTTCTCAAAGGCTTGATAAGGACTGGTAGAAGAACATGGTCTGATATATGCTAATTTTAAATCACATTTCCAGGGATTGGGGTCCAACTTAAGGAAGAGGGTCAAGTTGGAAAATCACAGAAGTCTGGGAATTGTGAACAAAAGGGTTTCCTAGATCTCGTCAACTCCCCAGCCAGCACGACAATACCATCCCTGGAGGCTGGACTGAATTAATTCTGGAGACCACCTAACTTCACAATGAGAACATTAAATGCACTTGGTCTCTAGCTATCAGCATTCCCTTGTCACCTTTACTCGTCGGCAGCTCCATATGCCCTTTGGGTCACTGACTTTTACCTCTTTTGAGCTTCCTTGTTGATGAGATCCATTTCTGAGGTTCTCCTGAACATCTCTTCCTGGACCCAGTATCCTTGGTTACCTGGTCCCAGGATTTCTGGTCGGCAGAGTTCTTTGCGGTTACAGCGCTGGTACACAGTGACCAGACGTCTGAGGCGAGCCGTGAGTGCAGATGAAACTGGCCAGGGTGATTTGTCTGGGTCGGAGCCATCCTGGGCTTCAAACATCAGTGAGGATATTAGTATTTACAAACAGAATCAAAACAAAGGTGGCTATTTTTGTTGTTTTGTTTAAATAAGAACACAGCTGACTCAAGGACCTGATCAGTCAGCTCAGGAGCTAGGCAGAGCCGGAAGGGTTGCAATTCTGCTTTAGAAACAGCTTTCGGTTGTGGTTGGCTCTGTCATCTCTCACATACAAATATGTCTGTCCACGGGGGCAGAACAGATTCAGGGACCTTGCTCTAAGGCATGGGAACAAGCAGGCCCTCTGTGGCCTTCTCCATATACAACTATGGGCTTCTGTGTAGCTGGGTCTTCCAACTGCCAAAGACTTTGTTAAGTTCTAATTCAGAAAAAACTAAGCAAAAAAAAAAAAAAAACAAATCACATCAAACCAACCCTCCCTAACGTTTCTCCCACCAAATGAATTAAATAAATAATAAATCAATGAAACCACAATTCCTTTTCCTCTCCCTGACTCCATCCTGACCTCAGATATCACTAATATCACTTCTGAATTCCAACGACAGGTGGCGGAAGCTTGCCAGAGCCCCATTCAAGCTCCATGTGTGACTCCAAGAGAGTCTGATGAAGGTCAACTGAGCTTTTTAAAAGAGCCTCCTTAAAAAAGCGCATTTTTATTACATGTGAACTCCAGGATAGCTACAAACTGGGACCTTACTTTTCTTTGCCTTCAGAAGGACACAGTCTCACCTGCCTGGCTGTCATCCTTCTTTTCGCCAAAAATGCCATCACCTCCATCACGGGAACTCTCCTAGGGAGAAAGGAAGCCACGCCATCAGTAAAGCTGCAGCCCAAGACAAACCAGCTCAGACAGCCCCCATACAGCAGGAGATCTCTCCTGCCCATGGACACCTCAAAGACCTAATCGTCCCCGGTCAATAAAGCTTACTTGTGCAGTTTTAAAAGAACCAGAAAGCAGTTTATTTAAAATAAGCATTTTTAACTAGGACTGTACGAATGATTCTGTCTGCAGAGAATTAGCTGAAAGAACGATGAGCTGGCATGCTCTCCCTGGCAATTACATTTTACAAGCACTATTTTAGTTGTGAATTTAAATATTTGCGTTACCATCATCTCTTGCAATTTAATACTGTCATTTCACAAAGGTTGTGCCTGCATTTTGGTTTCTTTCTTTTTTGCTGTGGAATAAGTATGATGTTCATGTTCATTACGGTTAGCTTACTTCACAGCAACAGATGCTCTTGTCCTAAAATGTGACTGCTCCAGACATGAGACCTGATGGCGCAAAACCCCCAGGAATTTAAAATTAAAATCACAACTGAGGCTCCAAGTGAATCTGGAGTAATTTCACAGGCACAGAGCTTATCCAAGTTGGAGCGTTTGTCAAACTGGCTCTAATGGATTCCTTTACAAACCCTTTCTTGGTCTCAGAAGGGAACTCTGGAAGTTCTTTATATATGGTGTGTGGGAGAGTTTGGGGGTGGGAGAAGAGAGAGTGCTATTTTTCAAATGGACCCCATTTTTAACATGAAAACTTACTGTCCTTTTGATTAGCATCTTTTGACCTCAATGACAGAAGAGAATAACCCCAGGACTGGAGACTTTGGCCATGTTAGGGAGGGTCAGCAATCTGTGGTCTGCAGACTGTTTTTGTGTGGCCCTCAAGCTAAGAAGAGTTTTTACACCTTTGAAGGGAAGAAGAAAAAGAGGAAGGGGAAGAAGAAAAGGGGAAATGGGAGAGGGAGAAGAATATGCAACAGATTCACTATCTGGTCCTTTACAGGAAACGTTTGCTGCCTCCTGGAAGAGTGCACACAGCACAGACCAGCAGACCAGGGATCTAGATTCAGTAGGAACGGAGTGACACCTATGATTGGCAATAGTCAAAATTCTAACCATTCTCTTAGGTCCCTAATACAATGGAAGAGGCTGAAAAAGAAAACTGTGAAAAGGCAGAGAGCAGGGGCACATTTTCTCTCTTAAAAATAGTGATAATAGCTGACATCACAGAGGACCGTGTGAAACCCTTTACGTGGCTAATCTCCTTTAGTTCTCAGAACTGCTTCATGAGGTAAAACGATCACTCTCCTCATTTTACAGATGCAGAAAACAAGCCCTGGAGAGGTTCTGTAACTTGCTCAAGGTCACACAGCTGGGTTTCAAACACCGTAGTCTGATGACAGCCTACACTTTCAACCACTCCAACCATCCAAAAAAGGGCAAAACGGGAGTCTGGGTTGAAGCTTTGTTTTGGAGAGTGAAACATATTTAGAATTGGAGAACACCAGTTCAATCTCTCTTCCTTGGCCCAAATGGTTTCTTGCCATCTAAGTGAAGAGACGGCAACCTCAGGCTCATCTACTGTGCCATTTTGGAGTGGGACTTAAATATGCCACCTCATCCTCCCCCACTACTTGGGTGGTTACAAAATAAGCAAAAAACTACCAACCACGCCCTGTATCCTTTCCTGTCCCCAAGAATATTTTTGAGTATCCTCACAGTATCCACAAAGATCCTTTGAATGCAGAAACTTGTAATTACAGACACTTCCAGGCTGAGAAACATCCTAGAGCCTACAAAACGTAGGAGTCAGGAGCCAGAGCTACCATGCTCATTACGCTGATGGGTGGCTAACTCGGGCGTCCGTCCCACACCCCAGATCCACACGGTGACTCCCAGCTTCGTGGGAGGCAGACATGCATGACCTGCAGGTTTCCCTTCTGGGGAAGTTTCTGTTGCTGCATAGTTAGTAACAACACGAGTACGGCAAGATTCTGGTATCGGCAAGTGCCTTTCTGTATATCCTGCCCTCTCTCGGAGGCACCTCCTCTCTCTGGAAATGACAGAATGGAGAGGACTCGGCTCATCAACAGCCCAAGTGGAAAAGATGTCATAACCTTAGCTAATAACTGATGCAAAGTGCACGTGTTATGTGCGGCTGCAGCGGCAGGCTGGGGTCACAGGAAGCACACGGAAAGCCCTGTGTCTGAAGTACACAGTTTAGCGTTTAGTATTTCAACATCTGCTCTCTCAGACTGTGAATCGATATGAAAGAAGTATTCATCTTAGAGGAGGTGTGAATCTGTCATTTCAGCGTGAAGGGTCCAGAGAGTGCTGACCACAAGAACTGCAAAACAAAGGAAACTGAAAACACAACAATAACAACAAACAACACAAAGGAAACTGGTTATACTGTGCGATTTCCCCATCTGGAGCGTGCAGTGGTTTGCAGCCTGACAGGTCCGCGGCTCTTTGGCCGTGGGCAAGTTGTTTCATCTCTCAAGCTCATTTCTTCATTTGCAAAACGGAGGTAATAATACTTTATAGGGTGACTGTGGGGCACAAATGAGTCGATTATGTCGAGTGCTTAACCAAATGCTGGCCTGAAGCAAACACCTCATAAATGGTGGCGGGGACTACGGGAATGCTAATGAACAGTCCCAACTACCACGTAGCCCCTCCCTGGTCCCATCTTTCACCTGTGTGGCGTGCTGTAAGGCAGGCTTTAGGACGCAGGGGACAGCAACAGCAACCACAAAGGTCTCCTGGGACCTGGGTCAGTGAGCCACCAGATACTACACCGAGTGCTTTCGATGCTGGTTCCACTTACTCATCATTTATTCATTATTCCGTTTTGACAGGAGGAAACTGGAATGGGGAGGATGATCATCTCACCTAAGATCATACATAGTTATTAAGTGGTGAAGGTGGAATTAAAACCTAGAAGATCTGAGGGTTCTAGAGGGGAGGGGGGTGAGGGGATGGGTTGGCCCGGTGACGGGTATTAAGGAGGGCACGTCCTGCATGGAGCACTGGGTGTTATACGCAAACAATGAATCATGGAACACTACATCAAAATAAATAAATTAAAAAAACAAAACAAAACACAAACCCAGAAGATCTGACTTCAGAGGAGGAGCTCTAACCCCTGGGCAGTACTGCCTCCGGCAGGTGGAAAACACAGGACGCCGAACCCAGAGCAGTGTTCACTAACTAAGTCCAAACACGTCACTTCTCCACTGGGGTAGTGGCATGCACAGACTCCTAGGCACTGAAAACAGAAGGTGCAGGCTCCCTTGTTTGTGGCCGGCCCCTTCGGACCTGGCTGCCTGCCCGATTTGGTCTCGATGAAGTGGTGGAGGCAGCAGCACAGACCCAGGGGGACCTGCAGACCCAAGGAATTTCTTCTGTGCTCCAACGAAACCCTAGGATCAACCCAACAGGCAAGGAGCTGTCCTCTTATATTGAGCAAACAAGTATGCCCTGAGTGCCAGGAAAAAATGGAACCCTTGTCTTTCCAGAGCCCAGTCTGGTGGTCATGAGAGACAGGCTGAAAAATACTGGCCGTGCTGTGTGATTACTGCTCCTAAACACAGTGGGAAAATAAGACAGAGTCACCAACTCTGCCAGACCCAAATCAAAGAGGGGGAAAGACATCCACGAGGTGACTTTTGAGCTTCCTATTGAAGGACACAAAGAGGAGTTGGCCAGGAGAAGTTAAGAGCTCTCTGTGAGAGGTAACAGGATGTACAGAGGCAGATTTAAAAAGATCCCACTGTGGCTTTCATTTTGCAGGAAAAAACCCAAGCATTCTACTCTCGCATAAACTTCATGTAGAAAGTAGGTACACATCAAATGTCATTAACGTAACTCAAGGATTTTATTAGGGAAAGACAGCAGGGTGTAGAAAAAGATTGAGTAGGGGAGACACAGCTCTTGTGTCCTCTAGCCAGTAGGACTTTTTTCTGAAGCTGATGAAAAATAATTCAGCTTCCCCTCTCTAGAATGGGATAAGAGTAACACCTAACTGGAGGGGAAACATGCTTTGCTAGCTTGGAAGTACTCCACATTCAAATATTACTATTGGAGTTTAGAGAACCCTCAAACTCTGAACTTGTAAGAATAGAGTAATTGTTCACTTCCTAACTGAATTTTTCTTACAACGGGATTTGGACCATTTTAGGCATTAAGTTTCTCGTGAGAGCTTTCCCAAGCTCACTCTGGCTATGACTTCATCCTCCGTGTACAGACCTTCTGTTTCAGAGAGCACCTGTAGCAGGCCCAGCTGCAGAGCAAGGACAGGACACACTGATTAGAAGACGTGACTGTATTAGTGGGCCACCACTTACCACTATCTCAGTTACAAGAGCTGTTACTCTCCCTATATCATATGAGGTTTGATGCAGAGAGATTCTGTTTACAATTCGAGGTTCCAGACCATTCCAAACACAAGTAAACTTTCTGACTAACTGCTGTAGGAAGTCTCTGCATATTCACTGACTCCAGCTGCATGTGAGATCTGTAACTGTTCACCAATCAAAGTTCTATTGGTATTAAAACAGAGAGAGTGTGGGGGAAGGGAGTAAACTAGATCATCTCAAATGTCCCCTCTAACTCTGACATTCTGATTCTCCGACCCACACATTTTAAGAGGACAATAGCTATAGTGTGCTCTGGAAGGCACCAGAACAGCGAGGGTCTGGAGACGATGCAATATAAAGAAAGGCAGAGGAACTAGGGGCCCTTCACCTGAAGAGACATTTAAAGACATGAAGGTAGCTAGCTGGCCTCAAGAATTTAAAATCCTATCAGAGAAGAGAGAAAGAACAGTTTTGTTCTTTGCAGCACCAGAAGAAAACTAAACAGAATCCAGGGAACCAACCAGGAGTCAGATTTCTGGGACAGTATAAGGAGTTTCCTTGGAAGCCAGCACATTTTTTTTTTCTTCTTCCCACGGACTCCCGGAATTACCTGAACCTACCTGGAATGACCCCTGATGGCAAGGCTGCAGAGGCGATAGAACATTCAGAGACCACTCAGACATGTGTTAGGGCTCCTTGCAATACTGGGATTGTGCCAAATCTAACAGACTAACCGTCCCCTGTCTGTGCCCAAGTGTGTTTAATTCAGAGGAAGTCCTAGTTACAGACGATACAAGCTGTCTGGGCATCTTTAGCCCTGCCTGTTGATCTGCCTGTGAACAGAACTGGGAGAAGGAAATACCCAACCAGTGTCTTTGGGGTTGGGGCAGGAGGTATGGGATGGGAGGGAAGCAGGGGTGGGACAGCAGACTGGGTTCAGATGTTGGCTGTTCCTCTACATCTGTTATTTTAGCACATGGACCAGATGTCAAGCTTAATCTATTTATAATCTGTCCACCTCAAAATCTGGGAGAAGCCATGCCCCATTCTATCTGCTTTTGATTATATTCTACAGCCCAGGTTTTAGGGATTTCAAAAGCAAAATAAATAATACAGGCATTAATTTCATAAGTGAATAAAATGTAGTTCCAGAGGAGTTTAACCCTACTGTATGGAAACTTCAGTTATTTTACAATTCTGCCACAACCCCTTCGGTGCCCAGATCTCTCCAAGATCAAAGGTGGATCAGCTAAGTGTATAAACCTGACGGCGAACAGCTTTCAGAGCCGGGCCGGCTGTGGCCGCCTTTCCATAGAAGCAGCACACGTGTACAGCTAAAATCCTTTCTACTTTACAGGCTGTGAAAACAACACTTGATTAGAGAACATAATACAAGAATATCTAGAAAATATCTAGTCTGAACTCTATCCTGGTAGCAGTGCGAATGGGGCCAAGTCCTTTAAAGCTCCCGGGCCTAAGGGTCCGCAGCCCTCCAATGAGGGCAGGAACATCAGAAGTGCTTACTGTACTCAGCGGAGGTGAGGATTGATGGCAACAAATGGAAAAAGTGCTTTGGAAAAAGTAAAGTTCCATTAAGTATAAGGTATGACTTGCATTTCTCTGGTACTTGAACTGCTTCTATGGAATGACACATCTCAAATTCCAGACAAAAGGAGTAACAGGATAAGCTAGGGACCAGAATGGCAGAACCTGGACTTCAACTGTTGACATCAGAACCCAACTTCCTTTAGGTCAGGGTCAGAGGTTTCATGCTGATCTGCTTCAATCCACTGCTTCTCAAACCGTGGGGAGATATGGAAACATATCTTTGATTATTATTTCCTACTTTGGGGAAGTGATGTCATTGTTGCTGTTATAGGAATCAGAGTTGATCGGAGCCAAAGTAAATACCACACATTCTCCCAACTAGAACCAAAAGAAAAGAACTGATAACTTTTGGGTGGTGATGAAGAGAAGATGAGAGAATATCCTGGCAATGGATTCAGTTGGGGACAACTGTACAGTAACCTCTGGGATTCAGAATCCATGAAATCCTACCAGATTCATTTGCTCTATAACTCAAAGCCAGAGAACATGTGTGGTCAAATGGTGCTGGGGCCCTGGTAAGGTTTCAGTCTGCTTATGCAAAGCCCCAGAAACTCATCTGTAAAATGCAATGCAGACTTCTGCTTCTGGGAAAATGCATGTTTCCCTATTCCTCACTCTAAGCACTATTAAAACCCCTGGACATTATATATGAAACAAACATAAGAAAACTCTGAAAGGTGAGAGAAGGCAAACCAACTAGGGACTTTGGGACCCAAGCAATGTCAGTGGTGAGTTCCACGGTTTTCTTTTTGACCTTGTATATTTGGAGGGAAAGAAGCTGGCTACCTGGATATGCCAAAGGGTACAGACAAAAAAAAAAAGCCCCAAGAAAAGCCTGCTCTCTTCAGCAAAGGACCAGGAAAAAAGCAGGTTAGGAATATACAAAATGTTAAGACAATACCCACTATCCTCCAGCCCAAGAACACAAAAAACTGGCTCAACACATCCATGCCAGCAAAGGCCAGGAGGAGAATCTTGGCTTCCACCTTCACCAGGTGGTAATAGGGCACCTCCTGCCCGTCCTGGGGTGATGTCAAAAAGCCAAGTAGGGAGCTGGGACTTTCATCTGTGAGAAGGAGTAATGAGGTCCCCATCCCCACCCACCCACGGCATTAGCAAAGACCATGGGCAGAGCTGGACTTCCACTCCTGTCAAGCAATAGTAAGAGACATCCCCCTCAGGTTTCATTGGGGGTTGGCTGAGAACGCGAACTTCTATTCCTACCTGGTAGCAACAAGGTCGTACCCGACCCCTACGCCACTCCCCTACGCCGCTCCCCTCAAGAGAGGAGTCAGAGGTAGTCAGCTAAAACAGAACTTTTAAATAAGATCCCGAGTCTTACAATACAATACCAAAATGTCCAGATTTCAGTGAAAAATCTTATCATATCATACCAAGAAACAGGAAGATCTCAAACTGAATGAGAAAGAATAAATGCTACCACCGAGATGACAGAAATCTTAGAATTTGACATAAGAATTTAAAGCAGTCATCAAATGAGCGATTCTGAACATGCTCGCCACAAATGAAAAAACAAAATCTCTGCAAAGAAACAAAGATCCAAAGAAGAACCAAAAAGAAATTTTAGATTTGAAAAATACACAAAAAAGAACCCTAAAAAGCAAAACAAAACAAACAACAACTCAATCTCAATGGACAGTCTCAATAGCAGAATGCAAGAGAAAAAGAAAAAAAGCAGGGAACTCAAAGACACAAAAATATAAAGTACCCGACGTGAAAAACAGAAAAATAGATTTAAAAAAAAAAAAAGGCATTAGGGACCTGTGGGACTGTATCAAAAGTTCTTCTTCTTTTTTTTTAAAGATTTATTTATTTATTTTTTAGAGAGAGAGAGAGAGAAAGTGAGCACACAGAGGGAGAGGGAGAAGCAGGCTTCCTGCTGAGCAGGGAGCCTGATGTAGGGCTCGATCCCAGGACCCTAGGATCATGACCTGAGCTGAAGGCAGATGTTTAACTGACCGAGC